GTAGTATATATATATATATATATATATATATAATATATATATATATATATATATATATATATATATATATATATATATATATATATATATATATATATATATATATATATATACATAGATAGATAGAGAGATATATATATGGATATATATATAAATACCACAGTGTATATACCAGCAATAAAAGGAGAATCCAGGCCAACCGGTAACGAACGAGGGCATATATCGTGTTTTACAATCATGTGTACACGTGCAGCCGTGCCTTTCATTTTTCCGAGTACCAACGACTGGTTTCGGAATGTATACGATATTCGGCAACTTTAACATCCTCGCACGTGTGTCTATAGATAGTTTTTTTTGACAGCGTTATACTTGTGCGCAATGGAAAGAGTGTGGATATATGTATATAGAGGTTACGTATACATAGGCTACATGGTTGTACGATACTTGTAGTTCATGAATATGTGATGCCTATAATAAGAATAGCTGCTACATGACTAGAATACTTGCGTGTGATGTATAGTTTATGTGTGTACATATACAAAGGGGTTTTTGACTGTCTGATAGAATAGGTGATGCCTATAATAAGAATAGCTGCTACATGACTAGAATACTTGCGTGTGATGTATAGTTTATGTGTGTACATATGCAAAGGGGTTTTTGACTGTCTGATACTTGGGGTTGAATATATAGAACTTTACGTATATTTATATAGAGACTATTTAATTGTGAGATACTCGTGTACAATGCATAGTCTTTGCCAGTATAGGAACAGTGCATACGTGTCTGTACTTGTGCCTAACGCATAGCTTCTACATATAATATATATATATATATATAAATATATATATATACCAATCACATCCTTGCAACACTTTCATGTGCGCATATACAATGCAATTTGATACGGCCTTACCTGCACTGGGCAACGCCGTCTGTTTCGTTACTGACGCTGTGGCCCTTATATGACCCAAGTGCAACCCACCGTCCAACACAGGATTCTGATCCTTTTGAGACACAGTAGTAGATGCAAAATAGTCTGCACTGGATGTTACGTGTGCATCAGTATCTGCACCACCTTTCGAACATTTTGTATCCGTCGAAGACCCTATATTAGCTGAAGTGTCGTTTACACCGACTGTTGCATGTGTATCTATGCTTGCACTATCTACGACACGCGTTGCATCAATTTGTGACAAAGAAATAGTTTGATTGCCGACTGGAATGGCTGTTATGGGTGCCTCCTTTACTTCCATGGACGTAGTTGTATTTATAGAACTCGATCCGTCATCTGCTGGTAGTGCGGGTGTATTGGGCTTCGGCTGACTAGTATGCTTGGCCGGCACTTTCATGGCAAACTTGCCTCTCTTCGTTCTAGCCATGGTAGCGGAATACATTAGTGTTACGCTGCTAATGTGTATGCATCACCTCGAGATACTGCTGCTTATGTACTGATGTGTATGTATGTGAATGCACTGGGGGTCCACAGAGGGAGCTCATTTGAATATTGGTGCCTAGAGTATGCATACACGTAAGTCGGAAGTATCAATATTCAATAACCAGAGTTAACCGCACTTGAACGCACCATATGTGCAATCACGTAAATTTAGTTTCCCGCGAAAACTGAGTTGCGGTTTTGGCTGGCTGGCAGGCGAATAACGTAGCGTATAACGTTTTGGTATTTATACCCTAAACCCTAAAAGTAGAAGCAGTGTAGGAAGGGTCAAACCTTTTATGGAACTTAATTAAACTATATGGGATAATACTTCCTATATAGTGCACCTCAGAACTCAAATTTTGCACCTAAAATCAAGACCAACCAAAATTTTAGTTGAAAGTTATACAAAAGTGTTGAATTTATTATATTTTATCACAATACGTTGATACATTTTTTAACGTAAAATAGCCTGACCTATTTCCGTTTCACATTAAAATGTTTTCAAGATAACCGGTCGCTTTTACTTTAGAATACGTTGAACGTTTAACAAACCAATTCACGTTTTTACGAATAGTTTGCTGTGTAAATAGAAATATACATACGTCATTCTGCATCACCAGTTTGTAGAGATCATCCGAGTGATAAGGTATTCACAAGTGTAAACACACTGCATACCACTTCTGAGTTCTGAGGCAATTCTCTGGTATAATGCCTCCCAAGGCTGCTGCGAAGACGAAGGTATATATAAGTCTGTCAATATTTTAATGAATTTTAGAGCACTTGTTGATACTACACTGGACAACTATGCAACTGCATTTAAGTGTATAGGAAAAAGATTTGTCTACTTCACGCATAATATATATATATATATATATATTATATAATATATATATTAATATATAAATACATATATATATATAATAAACATATACATACACTTACACATACAAACACAAAAATATGTACACACACATATATATATATATATATACGTTTCTATTGTTTATCACGCTTGGTTATTCTGTATCGTGGCTAGCAACGTTTTGAAGTGTTTTACTTGGTTTTAACCTACTGTACAATACTTCTGTGCTGTATACACGTAGTGATTCTACTCTATGCCTCATTGTATCGTGCTACTTTACATATCTGTGTCCTAGTTATAGCTTACGTGCCATCCATATTATTTGGACTTCAGACTATTCATCGAGGTGTCTATTTATTTAACTCTTTATTCTCGCATGGGCTTGGTTGTAGCTCACATGCCACCTTAAAGGGTGTAGTAATCAGGTGGCCTCCAAATCGAACTACTGCTGCGGTGCGCACGCGCAGAAGCAAACACAACTCCGGGTGAGTGCGATCAAGCCTGGGCTTTCTTGCCGGTGTTAAATGTGGCCATACCTACTATGAAGTACAAGCAAACGACATATCCCAGTATATGTTGGTTTCCTGTGGTGTATACATCTATGACCACAAGTTTACGTCTTGAAAACGCGCGCAATGGCAGTGTGATTGACGACCGCAATGCATCATTAAACTTCTCAATCTGTAGTTGCAGTTGCTTTGAGTGCGATCATTGGCATCCACTGCGTTCCGTCAAAATGGCCTTTTTGCTCTGCTGTTTTCCCTCCTAGTACGCCAAAACTCTCCACTGTCTAAAGCAGGCCATGTAGTGTTATTTGTCGTGTCGAATTTGTGTAAAAGTATGCCACATTACAGATATCTGTGTCAAGTCCTCACCAGCTACAATCCATGCCTACATTCAAAATAGTTGTTCTAAAGTCGGGACGTTCAGAGCGCCTTCATATACTTTTTAACGCTTCACCTTTTTCTGTGATTTGTCTCACCACAGCCTCGGTGCATCTGCCACCTGAAGTCCTGTGCGCGTCCAGCCGACACACACTCTAATTTCTGCCGCACTGAACACGCAACACAACACTCAGGAACCCGTGCAAAACATGGAAGCTCACATATCAACACTGAGCATAATGGTGGTATTGATAGAAAGTCACAGGCCACAGTGAAGGCTTGAACCAAAGCAAAACCAACTTTCAACAAA